AACACCTTTCATTTTTCATCCATCACAAAGTCCTTTCCCCAAAGAAACTTCCAATCTATGATGAAATTTGATCCTTTATTAATCTGGATTTTCAAACCAAAATTATCTAAGCTTCCCCCATGAATCAAACTTCTAAATCATATGGAATTTGGGTCACAACCTAACAAACTAAGCCTTGAAACAACTTCCGTAACAATGAATTAAAATTTCATTTTTCAAGCCATTCTCCAACTCTTCTACGATGCCCTACCAGGCATACTCAACGAACGTGAACTAAATCTAAGCCTTGCATAACAGCTGAACTACCAGCGCGCCAACCTTGCTTGAATCATCATATTCAATTCTAGCTCCACCGAAGTCACTAGACCTATTCGAATCACCACTAGCAACTCGATCACAACCAACTCTACCTAAGTTAAAATTTATCAAACCATAAGCCACAACTGCTTCCACAATGACAATCAGACCATCCAAAACATATAACTAAGACTTTCTCCACTTCTATAACACAACCCTAACACCCTTACTAACTTTCAGAACTCCATCTTCATCGGTATACATGTACCCTTTTGAATCAAGAGTACTCGAAGAAATAATATTTATGTTTAAATCTGGAACATGTCTCACTAAACCAAGTGTTATGATCATCCCATCAAACATCTTGATTTCGACCTTACTAATACCAGCAATTTTATAAGGCTCATTGTTTTCCATTACCATGGAACCCCTTATAATTGTTTCATATGAAGAAAACCAATCTCAATTAGAACACATTTGAAAAGTGTAAGCCATATCAAAAATCCAATTCTCATCGAGTTTGAATCACCTAATAGTAATCACCAAGAGATCTTCATCGCTTTAGTCTTCTTCTGCAAGATTGTCATCACTGAAATTTTATGGTTGTCCCTTTTGATCTGTAGTAGCAAACTTGCTCTCATTATGGATGACAAGGGGGGCAAGTCGGGGTCGGGGCAACCTCCCTCGCCCCGCTGTGTAATTTCCAACCATGTTACACGTTTAAGGCATGGCCATTGCCCCATTTACTACCCATTTAATTTTTTTTAGTTTTTCATAATTCATTTTATTGCTCCCATTCATTAAAGTGAGATAATAATATATTTGTTAAATTTTTTGATTGATTTATTTATTTATTTTTAAAAGTTAAATTATTTAAATATAATTGGTAAACTAAGGGTATTATTGTTTGTCATATTCTTAATTTACACCTTCTATTAAAACTAATGAAATTTATAGGAGTTTTCCATTTAAAGTATGGAGTTCTTTAAAAAAAAAGTTAAACGGGGCGGGGCCCTTATTACCCCCACTCGCCTCAGGACAAAGTCCCGTCCCATTCCTGATCCGAATGCCCGATTAAAAGGGTAATCCCCATCTCAAATGGGACGGGGCTGTGGGTATTCAGTTTAACGATTTTTTTGTCATTTCTAATTCTTGTTTCGCTACTTATAGCAATTCTTCTTCATGTGTCCTTTATTGTTACAATACCAATAGAATATATCACCGTGCTATCCTTGACTCTACCCATTCCATGACCATCTGTCTTCTTCTCACGAATAACAAGATCCTTTATATAGGCCTTGGATCCGACAATAACATGTTTCATTTTCTTCTTAGAATAAAGCATATCATATACCTCTTAATAGTGAGAGTATCTAAATTATGGAAAATAGTATCATACAACCCAGCAGCACTTTTCTCATTTACCACTTCCAGAAGAATTTGATTAGAAAGATGAAGATACATTTGTGATAGGGCTTTTTCGATCCATGCGTTGCTTCTCCTTCGCAATCATTATTGTGGGCATTCTATTTACCCCAATAAAGAATCATCCAAGTTCAATTGAGCAAGAACTGCTTGTATCTCTATCTGCTACAAAGAAATCTACTAATGAGATCTACAAGTAGAATCTCAAACTTAATAGTTACCATCCTTGAAACAATTGACCTTGTTAAAACCTTGCATTAATAACCAATTTGGACCTGCCAAAAAATCTACCAAAAGTCTTAGCTCAAGAACCAATTATTGAGAATCAATTCAAATAATTAACAAATAGAAAATAAGCGCAATATGAAAAATAAAGGATCACACAAGAACACCCAATTATTGAGAATCAAGTCAAATAATTAACAAATAGAAAATAAGCGCAATATGAAAAATAAAGGATCACACAAGAACACAATATTTATGCTGAAGAAGAGGAGAATTTCAATATACTAAGAAACTAAATTTGTGTTCACAAAATTTGATACTCTCAATCTAAATATAAACAATTTTCTAAAGTTTTTAATATATACAACAATGATCTAATTGTTATGTTGAGTCTATAAAGAGCCTACACCTCGTGGAGTATTTATCATAGCTCAATTTTGGAGTTCTGGATAAATTAGAATACAAGAATCGAGATAAAAATCCAATTCTTCTCGAATAGGCGACGCCTAGGCTCCCATCCTCTATTCCTCTTTCTCACAACTGGCCCGTAGCAGACATAATGCTTCCAAAACACTTTTTCATCCATCCCAAAATCATTTTCCCAATCAAACTCCCAATTCATGATGAAATTTGATCTCGTACCAATTCATACTTCCAAACTAAAATTATTTAGGCTTCCTCTATGGATCAAACTTCCAAATCATATGGAATTTGAGTCATAACCTAACACTTTTTAAGTCATTTGATATTAAAAAAGTCGATAACTTTTGAAGAATTCTATAAAAGTCTCTAAAATATTAACTTTCAAGAAGAAAGTGGAAAAATAAAATTTCAATTATTATTATTTTCTTCTATTGTTTATATATATATTTTTTATCGCTTTTCTCTTTTTTGATTGTTTCTCTCAATCTTCTATTCAAATAATTCTTATATCAAATTATTCCTTATATTATTCATTTCCTTATGTGAAAGATCAATATATATATATATATATATATAGTATGGGGGTTAAAACTAGATTTTTAGTGATTTTGATAAAAGTTGATGAATGTATTGATGGAAAGTTGTGGATTCCATAAAATATGTGGTTGAAATTAATTGTTGATTTAAATGTGAGAACTTTTCACTACATCAAAGTGAATTATATTTTTAAATGAAAGTTTTCAAAAGTCATATGAAATTTATAAAAGTTTTATACAAAAATCGCATGCTTTCATTAACTCCATACAAAGTTATAAATGTTTTGGAATTTCCCAAAAGTCTATCACTTAAAAAAGTCTATAAAAATCTTCAAAAATCCTGATTGAATACAACATCTCTAAATTTGGAGAACCAAAATCATTCTCTATTATTAAATTTATTCAAAATATTTTAATTTTCAATACTCCATATTTTGATTCAACTAAATAGTATATATCATAGAAAATTGAGGAAAATAATATAATAAGCTACGGTCCGTTTGATTGCAAAGATGAAATTGAATTGAAGTGAAAACAAATTCTAGAGAATTGAATTGCCTAGAAATTATTTTCCTATTAATTGTAAATTATTGTGTTTGATTGGTATAATTTTTCACGTGAAAAATGTTAAAATAAAAGTATTTTTTGGTGTTCGTTTGACTTTATTTCACATAAAAATTGTCAATTAAAGGGATATATTTTACTGATATTGGGAATGAAATTTGTTTCCATTGCTAACAACCAAAAAAAAATCAAAAAAATCATCTATCTTTTGGTGTTCGTTTGACTTTGTTTTATATGAAAATTGCCTATTAAAGTGAAAAAATTTTACAATAATTCTTAAAATTTGTTTCCATTGCCAACAAAAAATTAAAAAAAAAAACAATAGGGTGGAAAACCAAGAAAATACCATTTCCCAAGACAAGCAAGAAAATCGAATTCCATGGAAAATAAAACGTATCAAACACACAAAATCGGAAAAAGGTGGAATTCAAATTCCATTTTCCATGGAATTCGAACCAATCAAACATGCCTTAGTGAAAATAAAATATGAAGAAAAATAAATATACACCGAATAAAGTAAACTTAAATGTTAAAGATAAATAGATTGTTGGGGTATTTAAAAATTTTTACTTTTTAAATTTATATATATGATTGGAGTATTTAAAAAATTTTACACATTGAATTTATAGATAGTAACTAAATAGCAGTATATGCTCTTTAAAGTAGAAAATGTCTCGGAGAACTCCCTCTTGTTTGAGCTCCATTTTTTGAAAATTCATTTTTAAAGTTTATTTTAAAATTACATATTCTCTCAATAAAATAATTTTATATGTAAACCTAAAAGTATCTCATGGTTTTTAATCACATATACTCTAGAAAATCACATTGTTCTAAAAGACGCATATTGACGACGCTTAGGCATTACCAATGCGCAATGCAATGCGAAAATGCCAACCCCAGTGGCTTGATTCCTTATTTAGTAATCAACAACAATCATTGATCTCTAATGAGCGCCTAGGCACAGTTATTCTAGCATAGTTATCTTTTTTTTAAATCTTCTTTTTTTTTTACAATTCTTCTTAATTAAAACTTAAATGTTGATTTTTTCACTTTGTCGATTTTAAATTCAAAATAGTCGCTTGAAGTATTGAACAAAAGAAATCTTTCAAAAGTTCCTGTTTATTTACTATTTACATTTGGAACTTATCTTTTTGTTAAGAACTTTGAAAAATGTATAATTTTTTTTATAAATTTGTTTTAGATATTTGGCACGTATTATTTTTAATTATTAAACGATTTTTCAATTAATTAAAAATTAAAATAATATTAAAATAATAAACGAATTTTTATATTTTTTTAAGCCTTTGCCTTGCCTAAGTTCGCCTAACCCATAGATTTGCCACCACGCATCACCATTGTTACGCCTTGTAGAACACTGAAAAATTATTGATACAAATTTTATTCTCACCAAAAAAAATAAAAACAAATAATAAATAATTTTAAAAAATTAAAAAACCCTTTAATATAGATGTCAAACAAATCCTCAAGTTAGATCATTCTTTCGCCTATAAAATATAGATAAATTAAATTTTCAAGTATTCAATTTCATCCTACCTATAGAGCCTGCAGTTTCTCTGTATACAGATTTGTCTCTCTCTCTCTCTTAGGTTTTACGAAATCGGTCCGATTGAAATTCTCGGCGATGTCTTCGACAAGGATGATTGTGCTTAAGAGTTCAGACGGTGAGATTTTCGAGGTCGAGGAAGTGGTGGCGCTAGAATCAGAGACGATAAAGCATATGATTGAAGCCGACTGCGCTGATACTAGTATTCCTCTTCCAAACGTTACATCCAAGATCTTGGCGAAGGTAATTGAATACTGCAAGCGCCATGTTGAGGCGGTGGCGGCAAAGCCCGCCGAGGGAGTGTTGGTTGCAGCTGACAAGATGACCGACGAGGAGCTGAAGGCGTTTGATGCTGATTTCGTGAAAGTTGATCAGGGCACCCTGTTTGATCTTATCTTGGTGGCAACTCTTTTCTATTCTTGTCTCTCTAGATTGTTTGGCTATCTTACCTCGATTTCGCTGTTTTTTCCGATTTGCCCACCCTTTTTACTTGTTCATCTCTATGTTTATTGTTTCACATGAGCCTTTTTAATTCTACCATGTTGCCGTTTTACTTTAATCATTCATGGGTCTGTTTTGTTTGCTTTTATTTCTTCGATAACTTGTTTATTGCCTGTTTTAATGGTTTCTTATTCTAGATGCATTTTTCACATGATTATCAATGCTCTATTTTTAATCGTTTATGTCGTCTGTTCTTTCAATTATTGGTATAAACCTGTCTATTTCTTTTATAATTTTGCATTAATTTCACATAATTGCTGCAATATTTGCAATCAATTTTTACATGTTTCTCCTCATGGTGTTGTATATGGATACCAGATAGAATAGCTTTTATCATATGGATCTCTGTTCTGTTGTTAGTTTGTCTATATAAAGCAGTAGTTGAGGGTTATCCATTTCTTTCCCTTCTTTCTGGGTTGTAGATCAATACAGACGGCTTGTTTGCTTGAATAATGTTTGTAGTATTGGTGAAATTTTGGTATGAGGTGGGCTTCATTTAATTATTATATATTCTTATTTTTATTTGAAGGCTTATAATATAAAGCCTTTGGGAAGAGTAACTGGAATCAAACTATTTTTGTTCTGTTAAAATTTTTATTTTACTGTGGATCGGGTGGTTTGAAGATAACAGCAATCTTCCTGCATCAAAAGTCAGAACTGGAGATGCATAATGTAACTTTCTTTTGGAAGGGTTGAAAACATGTTCTTCTTTTGTTCTTGTAATCTTGCTCACAAATTTTCATCTGTTTGTTTTTGCATAGAAGATAATCTATTCATTTCTCTGTTGGCATTCTTGTGTTTTTAATGCTTTTTCTGTATGATTCACAGTTCTTTTCTCTAGCTACTACTAACTAGTGACATCACATTTTCAGGCAGCAAACTATCTGAACATAAAGAGTCTGCTCGACCTCACATGTCAGACTGTGGCCGACATGATAAAAGGAAAGACTCCGGAGGAAATCCGCAAGACTTTCAATATTAAGAATGACTTCACCCCGGAGGAGGAAGAGGAAGTTCGCAGGGAAAATGCTTGGGCGTTTGAGTGATATGCCTCTGCAAATTAAGTTTCAGTACCTAATAGAGTATGCTATATTATGGTAGGTTTTACTAAGAGTCGTCCAGTAAATTCTTGGTATCATGTTATGAAGAGATCCAACTCTTTGTTGAAATTTGTTTCCCAGTGTTAAACCTTTATGCTTCTATGACACTGGTACTTGGTGTTCCTTTTAAATGCTATATCTTTTACATCTTCATTATTTTCCCTTGATTATCGTTTAACCTAATTATGGAGTTTGACTGTTGAGAATATGTGATTGCAAACTCTGTGAATGTGGTTGATGGGGTTGTTCGTTGCTTGGTTGAAAGTCAGGTTCTGTTTGTGTTGGCACATTTGGAGCTGGAATACGATGTGCAGTTCGAAAATTCTCGAGGGCCTTAGATTTGCAGGCATTGAATATGTTGATCAGGTTTTTTTACAGACCTGCAAGGCTTATGCATTGGATAGCCACACTTGCAAGTCCAGATTCAAGGCATTGAATTGGGTAGCCACACTGGCAAGTGTAGATGTGACTGTTAAAAGTCCTAGGAATTTGAAAAAGTGATTGAAATAGATGATGACTAGTGTGTGCATGTTTTTGGCAGTTGGAAATGCTGTTCATATGAGAATAGTTTGGCTTTTTTCTTTGTTCGACATTTCAGTTCAACTCTGATTGAACTTTCTGGACTAGAGTTTGATCTTGGTTCACTCGCAGTTCGTTAATGCCTGGGCAGGATTTGAAAACAGCATTGAAAACTTTGTTATAATTTCTGTTTCAACCTTTTGGGGTGATGGGTCAGTTGGGAAACCTGAAAAGAAGGGGAAAAGCCATTGTCGCAACACATTTGGACTGTCGAAGGCAAGTTAAAGGCATGGTTAGAATGCTGAATCGGACATGTCCGTGCCATCGAAGAACTCGGAGCTAGCTTTGATGAGCCAACAAAATATAGTTTGCAACTGTCAAAGGCAAGTTAAAGGCATGTTTAGGATGCTGGATGGAACAATAATGTTGTCTTTCTTCAATTATATCCGTGCATCGAAGAACTCGGAGCTAGCTTTGATGAGCCAACAAATTATAGTTTGCAAAATCCGACTTTTTAAGACGTATGTCAATCATACAGCAAAACATCACACAAACGGATCATAGAGGTTTCGAGGGTGCTGACATTGGAGAGGGATCAGTGGATGTATGGGGACGGAGAGGAGGATTTCAGTTTACGAAGAGAAGTCAAGATCCTATTTATGGAGAATCATTCGGCACAATTACAAATGCAATTGGCTGTGGCTCGGGCTGAGAAGATGCGACAAGATCCTCTTAGTTTGCAGCCTCAGATGGTAGAACATGAAAATTGCCTTGTTTTTTCTAATAATAACTTGGATTAGAACCTCAAGTTTGCCGTTGATACCTCCAAGGATGAGTTTGTCTCGAAGAGAGATGAGTGGTGGGAAATGGAAAGAATCAGTTAGGTCGAGTATGGTGTTTTTTGCTGCTACCTTTTCTTTATGGTGTTTTTTGCTGCTACCTTTTCTTTCTTGTTTCTAGTTATAGAATAGCACGTGGACTTGTTCTTAGTGTTTCTCGTTTGATCTCTACTTTGAATTATGGTGGATCCTTGATGGACATTAATAAAGTCTATAATTGCACGAAAATAAAAAAATTAGATAATACGCAGTTGTGACTTATGATTAAGCAATCCTATTTGTAATAGTCAATAGGATTTAACATGGAGTGTAAGTTACAATTTCAATAAATAATATACACTATTATATAAGTAGCACAAGCTTGCAATTAAAAATAATTACAATTTGAAAAAAGAAAAAGAAAAAAGATACAATATTAAGAATAAGATGGTGTACGTTTCAATATCGTAATTTATTGAATGCAGTCCTTGTCAAAAATACACATAATCGTAAGTTGCCAAAATAAGTTAGGACCTTCATTCTTTAGACCTCAAAATTAGGTCAGGCTGGCTCATAGGTAAGGATTGGATCCGTGTGTTTCCATCCCTGAGAAACCTAACCTAATTCAAATATAGTTTTGCTAGACGGATAGGGCCACGTTGGTTCTGTGTGCCCAGGGCGTCGATTTGATGCCACGTCGCCCGCCGTTCAAAAGGGTCGCGATCAGCTTTTTTGATTCAAATATATAGGAAAAATTAGGCTAGGCCCTGAATTTAAACTTTTGTTTTGAAAAATCCTGTATTCGTCATTTTTTTATGACTTATCCTATTTTTTTAAAACTTAATTAGCTTAATATTAATGTTCTAAAAAGCGTAATATGTGGCGGTGTGTGGATGTCAAGCTACGGATTAGACGAACTTAGACAAGACATAAGTTTAAAAAAGCATAAAAAAGATGTTTTCTTATTTTAATATTATTTTAATTTTCACCAATCGAAAGATCATTTAAATTAAAAATAATACCTAGTAAACATCTAAAACAGATTTATAGCACCTTTATATATTTTTTAAAATTTCTAACAAAAAGATAAGTTTCAAACGTAAATACTAAATAGTAAATAAATATAAATTTTTAGGAATTTTCCTTTGTTCAAGGCTTCAAATGGTTGTTTTGAGCTTAGGGCAGACGAAGTGAAGAATCGGCCATTAAATTTTAAATTAAAAGAACTGTAGAAAAATTTAATGCGTGCATAATCACACCTAGGCATGTATTAATAGTCAACGATTCCCATTGATTGTTAAATAAAGCTTGAAGTGGCTTCATGTTTTCATCAAGCATCGCGCTTAGATGTACCCTTGGTGCCATCTAAACGCGCTTTTTAGAACACTATTTAATATACATGAAATTTTAATAATTAACTATAACATTTATCTTTCACCAAAATGTGAATAAATTCCTAAATTAACGCATTTAGTCCGTACCATAGCAACTTCTGTAACAAACATACTATTCCGCAATTGAAACTATAATCATATCACCTAACATTATTTTAATTGCAATCGAATCACTTCATTTGGCACTCTGAGTAGATGTAAATGTATTAAAACATCATAATTGTCTGGTTAAATTGAATGTTTGCAGCTGTGTCCATCCTAGTCACGTAACCCGTATATTTAAAACATCATTTCCATTACAATCAGGAATGGATCCAGGATTAGATCCAAAATCAAGCTATAAAATTTCAAATCGAGCTGCTACGAGGGAAAAAAATTTCGCCACAAAAAAACAATGAAAAATACCTTAAAAAAAAGTTCTTGGGCCTGAGTGGGAGGGACAACCCCCCACCCCCCAAATCCATCTCTGATTTCGATGTCAATTGAACAACCAGTAAAGTGAACTTAAGAGTTCTTATTATCGTTTCCACAATGACATCTATTTAATAATTAACCAATTTCTATTTTTAATAAAGCAAACTTTGGTGGCAAAGTTTTTGTTAAAATTAATATTAACTAAGGACAATAAAAGTAATTAAATGATCAAATATAATGGTTAACATATTATGACTCCCGATTCCACCGTAAATATCACCTTTAATTTTGTCTCTCGAGTTTGATTTTTGAACGATCATATTCATTAATTAAATTAATTTACCTCTCTCAAATTCAAATTAATTCTATTGACTATA